AAATGGAGTTGAAGGCTTTCTTGGAGAACCTACTTAGTCGTTTAAGCTTTCACTGGTCATTCTTTTTTATTTAAACTCAAATGTAGTACTTCAATACCTAAGTCATTAATATGGGGGAAGTAATGATAAAAACTATTTTTGTTTTGTTTTGTTTGCAAACCTTTCTTCCAAATAAAGACTTGTGACAAAGTTCATTTTGGAAAATGTATCCAAATGGAGTTGTTTCCTTGCATAGTGGTAGATGCTTGGGCCTCATCCCAGTGAAACCACCCTACATAGTTTTTTCTGATGGGATTTGCGATTTCGCTTAACCCAGGTAGGATTCTGAATATCATAATTTAAAATACATGAGACAATACATTGAAAACCATGCTCTAGTGAAGAAATATGCTAGTTACCTTTTGTGTGACATAAATGAGTCCTTTATGTCACTGAATTCATATCAGTGAAAGAATTTTATGTACTATAGAAATAAAACATATTCTTGAGACATTGCTAGGAATATGAGTGAAGGCAAAATCTAGATGTCATTGTTTCCCAAAGAAGCTAATAAAAATATGTACTAACTACGTTTTTCAGGAGACAGAGGTACTAATAAAAAAGAAAAAATAACAGTTTTTGCCTTGTTTAAAAATAATTTTTCTGCCTGAATAACCTGGTTTTTCTGATGGCCAATTTCAAGGAAGATTTGGATTTAATTTATCGTAGAGTGGTTAATCAAGTTTGAAGTTATTTCGCAAGAAATCTTATTTGCTACAAAAGGCAATAAAACCTGATGAAAAGCCAAGGCCATTTTTTAGGGGGTACATATTTAGAAATGGTCACTTATTAATCTTTTAGCTATAGATACTGTAAATAATCAGGTGAGTGACAATAGGCAAGGTAGATGCTGAAGGAATGGGGCCAAAGAGGACTATTATATAGTCCATGCCTAAAGATTAAGATATTTAAAAAAAATCAAAATATTGCAAGTCACCAATTCTAATGCATTTTATACCTTTTACATGTTATCATCCAATTATATAAGGAAACATTTTGCATGTTTTCATTTCCTTTAAAATCCCTAATGAAGTTTTATTTTTTCCATTATGCTTTGCTGCCCTATGAATTGTTCTCATTGGCTCATCTGCTCTATTATCATTACTAAATTCTCCATACAAGGAGTAAAATAACTATTTCTCTCTGGAAGTACCTTCTTGATAGAGTCGCTGTGTTTGATCATTTTTTCCTACCTCTTCAATGGACACTTAAATTCATATTAATTATTTCTATTTTTGCAAATCACTTGTAACAACCAACTGAAAAATAATAAGGAATGCATTTCAAGTTTTATTCATAGATGAAGATTCACATATAGCATGATATAATCATTTTCTATTTATTTACTACAAAGAGATAGTAAGTGTTAAATACATATTTTTAATTTTTCAAACAGCAAAGTACAATTTTCCCCTTTTAAATAATTGTTTTTGTATCCATTTCCTGCAAGCATGCGTTCAGGAAGTGATAAAGTAGACACAATTGCTGATGGATTTTTCAGTGGCTCATGCCAAGTTGTTTCCTGGTGCCAAACACAATAGATCAGGAAATATGGCACGTGACCAGAAAGCTCTTATTGTTTAAATCAGTTTTCTTTCTCACTATGACTTTAAGCAAAAATTCCCCAGAATATTTAAGTATTTCTTCACCAAGATGAATGGGATTACAAATGTTCCTATAGTTATCTTCTTGCATAATTTTCAAACTAACACTTAGAATTCCCAAATTATGAAGTAGTTTAAGAAATTCATAATATTTTTTTTAGAATAAATGAAATAAAACATATTTTAGATGAAAAGATTGAATCAGTGTAAAGCAAAAATATCTCACTATCATTCTCATGAATTTGATTTCATTTAAAGCAGTATTTACTCAATCTACTTATTAAGGTTGTATTATAATGTTATATGTTACATAAAATGCTACATAAACAATGTTGTTTAATGTGATAAATCACAAATTTTTTTACTGTAAAGTTTTATGGGTTTAATAGGTCTCCTGGCTTTTGTTTCTAAGACCTAATTTGAGGAATGCAGAATTAGCTGTCTGTCTTTTCCATGGGGTCACAAGAGGTGTATAAAACTGTTAATTTTCCCATCTTTATTCCCAAATATTTATTAATACATAAAACATGTTTTCTTTCTCTCCACAGATCCCAGACTTCTATCACTTTTTAGCTGTTCTTTTGTACTTAGTATAAATTTGACTTGCATACTTATGCATGTTTTTCTCAAAGACTGGAATTAAGTTTTTTTTTTTTTTATGGGAACACTGTATTCAAATAATCAGAAGTCAAACACAGACTTTAAAAATATTATTCACATTCCATAGGGTCTTTCCAAACACAAAGAACACATCATCTTTACATGTGGGCTATTTATATAAACATTCTAAAAGGTAAGCCTGTTGAGATAAATTAATCTATTTCACTTTAAGCTGTGAGAACATAAATTCATCACAATCTAGGAAGACTTTGGCTTCTGCTGGTAAACAACATACTCAGTGAATTATCTTCTTCAAACAACCTAGTTCAGTGAAGAACTATCCTTTAATTGTTTAGATGTACTAAATGCTCTATTCTTGGGGGATAGCAGGTTTGAGAAAGTACCAAATATAAACATGTTAAGGTACAGATCATAGTTCTATTGATAATGTTGAACCAGGGTTCAGGCTCATGGGTTCAGGCATTCAATGGAATCTTAACATTTTATTTCTTTTAAGAAATGGAATGAAAACAAAGAAGTCAGGAAGGAAACAAACAAACAAAATCTTATTTAAAAATTATTTCTTTAGGGAGGTAATATACTGCAATGGTGAGTATATTGAGCTAAGTAATGAGAATATTCTTTTTTCATCTACACTCAACTCTAAATTTATTATGAAATAAACTTCAGTACCAAACACTCAATGAGTCTGAGAGAAAAAAGCAGAATATAGGCTGATAAACTGGCAAAAAGAATGAGAGAAGGAAAGAAGATGGGAAAAGAGATACAAAACTGTGATGACAAGGAGAGAAGCAAGGAGGAAGACAGACAGAAATATACAAGCGCACATAGACACAGAGAGGGAAAAGCACTTTTGTCCTCTGCTAAGTTTTTTTTTTCTTTCTTCTGTGACCCAGTTAAGATCCTCTTTTCCAAACAAGGGTGCTGATCACAGTGTTCCCAAAATGATTAAACTTCTGGATAGGTACAAATCATTGTCCAAAATAAATATAGGATGGGTAAACCAGACAGACAGACATCTTTTATTTATTTTTACAAATACTTTCCCAACTTCAATAAGCAAGAGGAAATCTCACTGAAGTTAAAAGAAAAAAAGCAAACAGGTGCTAAAAATAAAAACAAAGAAATTTTAGTTGATATTTACTGGGGAGGCAAAAGCTTGTGCTGATAAGAGCAAAAAAGGGAAACAGGCTTAGGAACATAATTATTCTGCACCTTATCACCAAAATGGACCAAAAAAAAAAAAAAAAGCCTTATTGGTTATCTGATCTTAATCAGAAATTTCCCTGAAAACTTCTCAGAGAACACAAATTTTCCCAGTCCTATAGACAATAATCTATTGCCCTAACATGTTTCCAGTTGTGATATTTTGACAATCTCAATTGTAATATTGCTCCAATACTCAAAAACTATGGGACAATAATTCACTATTACTTATAGCTGGCAGAGTGCCCAGACACAGTGGTTAGAACTAAGATAGATTTACAAATTAAAAAACAATTATAATAAGATTATCTCATGACTCTTATATTTTAACATCTTATATTCACAAAACAACTATTAAGTGTTAGCCATCACTCTAACTTTATGTAAAAATATATCTAAATCCTAAACACTTAAGTTGCATTTTTTTAAAGATTCATTTATTTATGCATACAAGAACTGGGGTACAGGCCAGAGATACGGGGGTGGGGGAAGAGGATTCACCAGAGACAGAGTAGGGAACAGAACAGGCTGAAATACACCGCTGAGGGGAGCAGCAGGCGAGACAGGAGATGTCTGCTTCGCCATGTGGGCTGCTCCCTGGCCAGCTGGGGATAGAACTCGTGCAGCAGAGGTTGTGGATTTCTTCAGGTTGTGTCTTAAACCCTTGCGCCTCCAGGGAGGCCCATAAGTGGTAATTTTTAAGGCATTTTTTGGTTCTCTACAATATGGGTACTTTTATATATTCCTTAGGATTTCTCCAACTTCCTAACTTTAATATTTGTGATTCTCCACATCTTATTGGTTTTATTAGGTTGAGAAATATTCTTGTAATTGACTTACATTTTGAATATAATCTTTTAAAGGAAAAGAGTTTACCCTTTCCCCACCAAAAGAACAACAAAAGACTTGTTTAATAATTCTATGTATTCTTAGAATCAAGAAAATGTAATATGTAATCTATAGGTGAAGCAGTAAATGGTTAAATATGTAAGAAATAAGTATTATATCTCTTACTATATAGACTTACTATATCGCTCACAAAGACTTATAGTTAGTAATCATATTATAAATACTTTTTCTATAGACTAAAAATATAAGAAACTTGAAAGATTCATCTGGGTAGTTCTAGAAGATTTTGCAACATTGTTTATTTAAAATAATTCTTTATCTCACAGGGGAGATTCCAGGAATTTTTCTCTGCTTGGATCAAAACTTGGCTTTGAATTTGAAGTATTTATTATTCAAATTTAAAACCACAATTTCTTAACACTTTTGCCTGATAGTAATTTCTATAGATACAGAGAGTGAGGTGTGAAAATCCAGACAAAATCAAGATATCTTTGACAAGGTGTTTATCTTATAAATTTTACTATGAGGAAGACTTTTGAAAGTGAGCACCACAGATACCAAGAGCACCCAGGACAGTTCAAGTCTAGTTAAGGAGAAATTTGCCATTGGCTTAAACAAAGTCATTACTGTAGAATGACCCAAACACAAAGGAATCAGACCACATGGGTTGCATCTGCTTACCTCATATTTTCACTTTATTTTGGTGTGCTGACATTTGGAGTGGCTCTTATTGGTCTGGAATTAGCTTTCTTATCTCGTGAAACATCTGCACTGTATTGTTCCAAAGGATTAGCTCCCACTGGGGATTCTGTGAAGTCAGGACAATGGAGGTCGTTAAAGGTGCAAACATTTATTTTCCGGTCTCTAATTCAGCAGGGGAAAGCCTGCAGCTGATGGATTTTTCTTTTTTAATCCTTAACTCAGCATTCTTGCAAATCTAACTAAACAACAGTGAACCCTGCTAGCATTGTTATACTGCAGTGGATGACATTAGGAATTCAGAATTATTTACCCAGTAAGAGGAGAGAGGAAAAAGTGAGTTTCATGAAAAAGTTAGGAGTTGAAAGCCAACTGGAGTATGTCTTTAAGAGTGGTGCTTGAGATGATTCTGAGTGGGGTAGCACAGCATGGTTTTAGGGGGGATTACACATTAAAATATGCTTTCCTCCTGCAGCTTTGCAACTTGCAATTAACATTTTCCCCTCCTTTTCATCTGGTGTCTCTAATTCCATTAACTGTCCCCTCTCCAAATCCCCTGGGAGTGCAGTTAGGGCTTACAGCACCAATATTTGCTAGGCATAAGTCATGAGAAAACACAGTGTATGGAGAAACACATTTCTTAGTGCTATGTGTTTAATTGTGTTCCTTTAAAACAGATAGGATGAAGACATAGCCCCTAGTGCCAGAATATGTTCTTATTTCAAAATAGACTCTTTGCAGATGCCATTAATTAATTTTTTAAAGAGTTATTTATTTATGCATACAAGAACTGGGGTTCAGGCCAGAGATGTGGGGAGTAGAGGATTCACCAGAGACAGAGTGGGGAACAGAACAGTGGATTGACTGAAATACACTGCTGAGGGGAGCAGCGGGTGACCCAAGTGGGTCAGCTCCCTGGCCAGCCGGGTATCGAACTCATGCTGCAGTGGTTAGGGCTAGGGATAGCTTCATAGTTCTGTGGTTTTTGTTTCTTTTTTTAAAATATATATTTTTTTAAAGATTTATTTATTTATTTATACAAGCACTGGGTACAGTCAGAAGCGCAGGAGGGTGAGAGAATTCACCAGAGACAGAGCGGAGAGCAGAGCAGGCAGATTGACGAAGTACACTGCTGAGGGAAGCAGGGGGCGGCAGGAGAGGTCTGCGCGCCATGTGGGACCCTCACCCGGAGGCCGAGGATCGAACCAGCGCTGCAGAGGCTGCGGGCAGCTTCGCAACCCAGTGCTCAACCGCTGCGCCACCAGGGAGGCCCCATCGTGCTGTGTTTTAAGCCCTTGATCCAACAGGGAGGCACAAATGCTGTTAATTTAGATGATGTCATATTGGAAAAGGGGGGATGCTACTCCATTATGACTGGTATCCTTGTAAGAAGTTGGACACGTGCAGCAGAAAGAAGGCAGGTGATGGTGAAGGCAGTGATTGGATGTAGACACCCACAGGTTCAGAGATACCAGATGGCTAGCAAACCATTCCCCAGAAAGGAGAGGCTTGGGAGGATTTCCTTACAGATTTCAGAAGAAGCATGGCCTGCTGACACCTTGATTTTGCACTTCTACACACCATAACTGTGAGACAATACATTCCCCTTATGTTAAGCCACCTATTGGTAGTATTTGCTAAATGCAACCTTAGGAAACGGATACACTTAGTATGATACAGCAAATAAAATGGGTTAAATTTCAATTTAGGTTTCCAGGACTGCAAGAACAAAATATCCATACATTTCTTAACCTCCTAAGTTGTTTTGGGGTCATTGCACAGGTAGAGCAGTTATGGAAAAGGGGTTCGGGTTGCTACAGAATTACTCAAGCAAGAGTGTGTTATCCCAATTTTCCCTGCATAGGAAAGTATATCCTTTAGTTTTTATTGAGTTCTCTAAAAATACATCGCATAACACCTCTGTAAGGTTGGCTACTTTTGAGCTCTCTCAAGTACATGATTTAAATGTCAATTATATTTATTAAACCAATATTTTCTGGATTCTGATCGACAAAACTACAATTTTGTGGGTTCTTATCCATGAGTGGGTAATAAAATCAATTTGGAGGGTAACCCTCCCACCCCAAAGTGAAATAAAACACAATAGAAATTGAAAGGAACACTCGTACATTATCCGAGTTCTGTATGTCTACAACTATGTGTGGAGGAACATGGTATGAAGGTTCATACACACACACACACACACTCACACACACACACTCACATATATGCATACACTTGCCAATTCTAAGCTGCATTATAAACATTTCTTACTATGGGTCTGTAGTGGCAGGAAGGCCTCTGAGCATGTTTTCTACGATTTGAGCGGACCAGATTGGGTAAAAGGAGAGTCCTGAGCCCTTGGCTTTCTCAGGCTTTTATTGAGCTTTTTACCTGTAGTTCAGCAATAAGGTACACAGCAGTCAGGGTTACAGAGGGAGGGGGGTGAGGGGGCTTCCAAGTCCCCCATAAATCTTCACTCTGTTCCTCTCTCTCTTTTGCCTCTGCTTCTCTTGGTGAATATCTCAATACTGAGCCATGGCCCACAGAGGTAAACAACATAACTTACAGCAATGTAACAACTGCAGGTGCCCCATCAGGCACGACAATCCTAATGTAGGAGGGCAGAAAAGCCTGAAAACCATTTACCCCACAGGGTCACAAAGAAAAATATTTGAAGCCTTAGGTTTCGAATCTATCCCAAAAGTGACTACCACTTTATTACATTAAGAAATCCAGAATATGGGCCTCCCCTGGAGGCACAGCGGTTGAACGCTGGGCTGCGGAGCTTCCTGCAGCCTCTACAGAATCAGTTTGATCCCCGGCCACTGGTGAGGGTCCCGCATGGTCCGCAGACCTCTCCTGCTGCGCCCGCTGCTCCCCTCAGCAGTGTACTTTGGCCCTTCTGCCTGTTCTGTTCCCCACTCTGGCTCTGGTGAATTCTCTTACTGTCCCATGCTTCTGACTGTACCCAGTGCTTGTATAAATAAATAAATGGATCTTTAAAAAAAAAATATCCAGAATAAGTGGAGTTAAATAAATTTAATATGCTTAACTTTCAGGTTTGTGGTGAGAAAAAAAATTTCATGATTCAATATTTTTTTCAATTGTAGACTTGCCAGGAGTTTAAAATATCATGAAATTTTCTATTTGCTTTTTGAATAAGTTTCCTTAGTTATCTGTGCCTACCACTCTAGAAACAATAGGACAAGGAAGCATATTATAATAAACATTTAAACTTTGAAAATACAACATCAACAAACAGAACAAAAACCAAAACATCTGTGAAAAAATAGCACACGTAAGAACTTTCCTCATAAAACATTCAGAAATAAACAACACAATGTGTTGTTAACTTGCACATTCTCCTGCCCAATATGTCAAAGAATCCCTTTACTCTTTTTCTCTCACAGACCATCTAGCCAATTCCTTCAAAGACAAAATAAGAGATTTGCGGCCCAGAGATATAAAATTTTTGAACAATGACAGCAGGGAAAAAGCTGGGCTCAAGCTAGGCTTGACCCTGCTGTCCTAATTCTCAGATAACACTTTTTAAACCCATATCTTACCTCTTTGTAGAACAGTCAGATCAATGATATTTTTAAAGGCTACAAACTGCCAAAACAGCAAGACAAACATGGAAAATATGAGTAGTGTTAAAATAAGGAAAACAACTGAATGGACAATTAAATTCTTCCCACAAAGAACAAGTCAGTTCCAAAATACTTCACCGGATGCTTCTATCAAATATTTAGAGAAGAAATTATATTAGTCTTCAAAATCTTAAGAAAAAAAAAAATAGAGGAGCTGGGCCTCCCTGGTGGTGCAGGGATTAAAGTCTCAGCACTATGAAGCTATCACCAGGTACTACAGCACAAGTTCTATCCCCACCCAGGGAGCTGACACACATGGCACAGCAGAACTCTCCTGTCTCATCTGCTACCCACCTCAGCAGTGTATTTTAGTAGACCTGCGTGTTCTGTTTCCTACTCTGTTTCTGGAGAATCCTCTCACCCCACCCCCCGCACCTCTGGCCTATACCCCAGTTCTTCTAAGCATACATAAATAAATTAACTCTTTTTAAAAAATGGATGAGGGAGCAATATTTCACAACCTTTTTATGAGACCAGTTTTGGTCTGATGACAGTGTACCAGGCCAACATCACAAGAAAACTGAATTACAGAACAATAAATGTACATGGACACAGATAAAAAAAATCCTTAATATTGACAAATAGAATTTTATAATCTACAAAAAGTATTATACAGAACACCCAAATGAGATTTATATCATGAATGCAATATTGGTTTAAAATTTTAAAATCTCTTAGTGTGATAATACAATATTTATAAAGAACAATCTCAATCATTTCATAAAATATATAAGAAATACTTAAAAACCTCATGCCCATTCCAAAAAAAAAAAAATCAATTAATTAGAAATTGAGGAAAAGTCTTCAGTTTGATACTGATATCTGGAAAACTCACAGTAAACATAATACTTAATAAAAATCTAAATGTTTCTTCCTAAGGTTCAGAAATCACACAAAAATATCTGTTCCTGACACTTCTAGTCAACACTTTACTGAAGTTTCTTTCTTTCTTTTTTTTTTTTTGAAGATTCTTTCTTGAGAGTGAAATTTAGTCATAAAGAGAAATAAAAGGCATATGGTTTGGAAAGGAAGAAGTAAAGTTGACTTTATTCTCAGATAATATGATCCTGAATGTTAAAAACCCTACAGAACCCACAAAATTTCTGCTAGAATTAACCAATCTGTTCAGCCATGCATTTCCACAATATATAAGATCAATATACAAAAAAGTCAATAACACATCTATATAGTAACACTAAATGGTCTTTAAAAATCTTTTCATATAGCATCCAAATGAATAAATATAAGTAAAGTCAACCAAAATGCAAAATATATACACTATAATTATAAAACATTGCTGAGAGAATTAAAAATCTAAATAAAAAGACTTCCCTTGTTAAAGGTTTAGAAGACTAAATTGTTCTTACAGCAATTATTCCTGAATTTTAAAATCCTTATTAAAATCCCAGGAAGTTTTTAACTGAAAATTTATAAGCTGATCCAAAAAGCTATATGT